GTAGACCACTGATTTTGTGGAAAAGTTGTTTTAAGTTAAAAATAGAAACTGATAAAAAAAATTGCGAGATACCCTTGCTCGTAGAAAAAATATTATTCCTAACACATGCGCAAAGTAATTTTTCCACACTAACTGCTTGCAATTGGAGTAGCGTGCGGAAAAATATAACTTTGCGCACGTTATCTTTATCGATAGGGATTTTTTCTTATTGATAAGGATATAAGCGCAGAATAAGGAAACATGTTTAGAGCACAACGTCCATACTGCCGTTCTAAAGCCAAAGGTCGTAAATCTAGATTTTACAGTAAGCCATGATTATTATTGAACATTGGTCATGATATTGGCATAATCTTTTATAATTTTTATAATTTTTTCTATTTTGGATAGTCTATAATACAGTGAATGTACTAACGCCTTATTTGCTTAAATATGCAGGTAAAATTTACTACTTTACTAAAACAAAATCAGTTTATGATATTTTCGATATTTTAGAATCACTTTCAATAATTTAAAACATGACTCACGAGTTCTTTCATTGATAAAAGTATTAAAATATATATTAATACACATTTTGAATGTTAACATTAATTATTATCAGTTATTTAACCTATAACATTGTTTCGAAACATCTTTCCATTACACTAAGTGATTTTTTAAATACACATTTACAAGTTGTGGCTTTATGACCTTTTAGTCACGGGCTGCAGTTTGCAAGGGGTTTTTAGTCACAGTCTAAAGTTAGTTGACAGTTGTCATACAATCGTTAAAATAAAGTGCGCTTCTTGTAAAATAATGCTAAATGTAAACATTATTATATTATCTCAATACTACTATAAAAAACTTTTGTTAGTCCATTTTCAAGGGATACATTTCGATTTACACATAGAAATTTGACATTTTCACCGTCACGCCGGTAATACAGATTTCCAAAAATGGTTACTCAATTGTTTTATAGATGTCGCTCTATACATATATTTAATTTAATTAATTTTTGGATAATAATAGGTATTTTTCGTAGAAAAAATATAGTATGCAACTCGTATATAAACTTTTCTACACACTCGATTAATTAAACACTCACGCGCAAGCTCGCTCGTGCCTAATTAAAATTCGTGACTAAAATGGCGTTTATAAAACATGATAACTGCATAATATACTATTTTTTTTCAGTTAATCTTTAGGTGAGTTATAATATTTATTGTTTGTTCCCGAAAATAGTTTCTGTTTACCTTTAAAGCTAAAGAAACGTTTTTTTTTGTTTAGCTTAGCTAAATCAATAAAAAAATTGGCTAATTATATAAAAAATATAATTTTAGTAACTAAAGGGTATTTCCATTGTAACGGGTGCTACACTAAAACTGCGTTTTTTCATGATAATAAAGTGTTTGTTCATATACTATCAAGATACTTTAATATAATAAATAGTATAAAAAATTAGGTATTTAACTCAAACAAAATGTCAATAAAAACTTGTATAGAATAGTATATTCTGTAAGTTGGAATACAGCATATTCTGCTCGAGTGAAGAGTTTGTCACACGAGCCGAAGGCGAGTTTGACGGTTTCACGAGAGCGGAATATGCAATTCCAAACGTGTTTCAGACTATACTTTTTCTACGTTTCCAAAAAATACCATAGAAAAATAATTTAATTTGAAGAAAGTGAGGTTGGATCAGTCTAAAATTTGTTAGATATATTAAAAACAGAGATGTCGCCACGAGTGATTATTCTGTCATCCGATGATAGAATATTTCATTCTGTAACACTTTACGGAATAAAGCTCATTCCATAGATAAAAGTGATATTAGAACGGTCAAATAGGAGTAGAAAAAACCTTTTATAATGTAATGAATTGCGTAACGGGCGCGACCTTAAAAAATCGGCAAATGCGACCAAAGCATATACTAATAATTTTTATCTCCACGCGGTCTATAATTTAAACTTTATTGTTGTCAACATTCGATAAAGAAATACCTTGTTATGGCCTAGGCCGATAAAAAATTTTATGATGCAAGTAATTAGTTCGATTTTTTCTCGCTAGGGTTATTGTTTTGACAAATTAATCCTTTTCTAAGAAATTAACGTACTAAACTGGTTTAATTTATTTATAATAAGCACTAATTTGTTTGTTTTACTGTTAATGTTTAATATTTTTCATTAAATTGTTTTAAATTAAATATGAATAATAAAACAAAAAGTGAGGTTAGGCAACCAAGAAAACGCACAATTCTTTTTCTACGATTTAAATTATCTATAAGTTTTTATTTGCTTTAAGTTTTCAGTAAAATTAAATGTTAAACACAGCTTAAACATTCCAAACTACCTATTTTTTAAATAAAAATCCAAACAATTTGAAATTAGATACCTACCTATTTATTAAACAATTAATTGAATTCAATGTAATAGCAAAAATCCATTTCTACTTAAATCATGTAGCTAGGGTATTGTCAAACTATTACTGCTTCTAAAAGCAATAATAATTATTGTACATTTAATGTAATCTTTAGCTAATAAATAAATGAGATCCTAAAAAAGTGAGGTTAGGCCGCTTTGATGTTGAATTAAATTGACCTATATAAAGTGCTTTGAAGATAAAATGTTGTATGCTATTCGGCCAAGAAGTGCCTTTTTGTGCTTCGCTCAATTGTAGGCCTCCGCTACGCGTCGGCCTTCAAACCTTGAGCTTAGCACAAAAAACCTTACTTCTTAACCTAATGACATAAATAACTATTTGTGTAAAACTTGAATGGTAACCTTAAACAAGCACGTATTTTAAATGCACAAAAATTGCATACTTTATTTTCTAAAATTTTCTCAAAATGTAACGGGTGCGACATTTGAACATTTTATCGAGTATTGAAACTCTTCCGTATTTATTCTTAATGTTAGCTTCTTAGCATCACAATGTACGAATATTTTAAGGTTATAAATTACGTCGCAATTAAACTATTTGACTTCAGATATAGTTGTTATTTTGTTAAATAACACATTTGATTTTTTGTCAAGGTGGGGTAAGGTTTCGTGAAAATACCCGCGAATTAAAAATATGTGTTTAACTAAAAAATACAAAAATAAGAAACATATTTTAATTCGCAGAATAAAAATTCTTATATGATATTTTTAATCTAATTGGAAATATCACTTTAGTTTTAACACATAAGAATAATTACGCTCCATGCTAAACGTTGCCTTGCTGAATTTAGAGTGGTTTACTCCTTTAAACTTAAGGTAGTTGTCGTGGTACAATATTGTCAAAATTTTTTAGATTATACGCACCGTAAAAGTATACGAGCTTCTAGCCAAGTGATTCATAATTTTTTCGCAAGACTGTACCCTGGAGACGTTACCTTTACGTAATACTTTCAAATATTTTCATAAGTTTTAATCCGGCAACGTCGCTTATGCTCAACCAATAGATATATTGGAGACTGAATCAGTTTGTTTAAATTTACTGCGGAAATAATATCTATACCCGCGTACAGCGTTGCCAAGTTGTTTTTATCTGACACTAAAGTCTATTCAAATCCAAGCTGGACTAAATGTAAACACAATCCTCCGAATCGACCAATAAGAGCTCACAATCCGAGTCACACCATCAGAATCGATCAATAGAAGCGAGTTATCAAGGGTGTGTGAGTTTTTGTTTAGTCCAGCTTGGATTTGAATAGACTTTAGTGATGTATATTTTTTACAAATTGTTAAACTTTAAACGGTTATTTATAAACAATTGGACGGTCAAAAATTTTTAATTTTTTTTTTAAACTCAGCAAAAATACATTAAAAGACTGTTAGTTTTTTTAAAACTTCTGACAGTTAGTTTTTTTTATAACTAAGAAACTGGTACAGAACTACAGGAAGCGTATTCAATCCATGTTAATTATCCAATTTTGAATTGAATTTATCTCGGGTTATAGACGGTCAATCGACTTCAAATTTTAAGGAGAATTGTATTGTCATGTCCTTAATAAGGGGTGACATTCACAATATCGAAATTCATTATATCGAATTCAAAATATCGAACACTTTTTATCGAAAATCAAAATATCGAAAATACAAAATGTCGAAAATCAAAATATCAAAAATTCAAAATGTCGAAAATGATAATATCGAAAATTAAAATGTCGATTTAAAAATGTCGAATAATTAAAGGTAGTGTCTCCCCGACCGTCGGACGGACGTAGAAAAGTGTGTGCTCGACCGTCGGACGGACGTAGAAATGTGTGTGCTCAACCGTCGCATATTTTAACCTCATTTTCAACCAGAGGCTAAATGTAGCAAAGTATTCCTCAAGGTTATGACGAATAGCTGTCATTTTGATTATGCAGGTACACTGCATTGTGCCATACCAAACTAACCCAAACTTAACAAACCGACCCAACCGACCCCGCCCATTGGGCCCCTCCCGCCCCATTGTCACAATCCAGCCTGCCCTTAGATATATTATACCTCTATTGCTCAATGGGGCGGGAGGGGCCCAATGGGGCGGGTCGGTTGTGTTGGGTGGTTAAGTTTGGGTTGGTTTGGTATGGCACAATGTAGTGTACCTGCATAACCAAGATGACAGCTATTCGTCATAACCTGTATGACAGCGGTCGAGATTTTATTTTCGATAAATTGAAAATTCGATTAAATAAAATTTCGATATTTTCATTTCGACATTTTGAATTTTCGATATTTTGATTTTCGACATTTTTTATTTTCGATATTTTGATTTTCGATAAAAAGTGTTCGATATTTTGAATTCGATAAAGTGAATTTCGATATTATGAACGTCACCCCTTAATAAGTATACAAAATTTTAAAATTTTCTGATGGTATGCTTACAGCACGACAACTGCCTTAAAAGTTAAAATTAACTTTATTTTTTCACGAACCCAATTTTTTCTGAGTTTTTAACGTTTTAGATTTTTATATGATTGTCTAAAAAAAATAAACAAGAAGTTTTTACGCTTGAATTTTTTGTATCAGGCAAGTATTTTGATTTGTTTTTGTTTTGCGCAGGTGAAACGGGCGTTCGAGTACGCGTACACCGTGCTGACGAACGTGGTGCATCCGCTGTCCATCTACTCGAACTGCCAGCAGCAGAGCATCCTGGGCCGGATAGTGCGCGTGCGCGAGAAGGTGGTGCAGCACCGGCAGCGCGTCGAAGAGCGGCAGCGGTACAACAAGCTGTCGTCGAGGTCGCCGTCCAGCACCGGATCGACGTCCAGCGCGGAAGAGAGCGGAGTTAGCTCGGAAGTAAGTCGCAAGCTTAACGAAGTCTGTTCTTTTAACATGAGGCCATTATATGCAAAACTCTCCAATCGACTAAATAATCGAAATTCACTTTTTTCGCTAATTTCATCAGATTTTTTATAAGGAATGTATTGCCACCTTTAAAACGTTTCTAAACTGCTTCTTTGCTATATAAAATCGCTTAAAGAGTTATCGGTTATTTGCAATAGTTATTTATTTTACAAGTGTTGAAAAGCGACTTTTTCATGCGAGTGTTAAAGTTTAACACGAGCTTGAAGACAGCTTTTCTCACAAGTGAAACACAATGTTTTTTCTCCGACCATTTTATTTTTTATTATATTCAAATACCAAACAAAATAACCTAAAAACGTGTTTGACAGCTGTTAAAATTACTTTCATCTTGTTCTTTTCATTTTTAAGGTATAAGTTACTTAAAATCAATAAACTTACCTTATCAATTTAAATAAAGGCACTAAAAATTAGAATTTATTATACAAACACAATTAATTGTGTTCTAAATGATATTTAGACCACAATCCACACAACAAGGTCTGTTCTATCTTGTACTAAAAATACAAAAAATCACTGCAACACTGCACAGTTTAACGGCGGCCATTTTTGTTGTTTACAATTTTTGTGCTTTGGGTTTGTACTCTGTTTATACAGATTAATAATCGTTTTAAACGTTGTGTTTCTTATAGTAAGCCTTAAAAGAGTCCTTAAAGTGCTAAGAACAACCATTTTACTCCTCTATTGTAAACAATAAACTTTATTCTGTTAAATTGTCATTTGACAGCCCTGATAGAATAAGATATATTTATTATAAAAGAGGAGTAAAATGGTTGTCCTTACACTTAAAGGCCTTATTTAAGGCTTACAATTGCCTCTGTAGAAACACAACGTTTAAAAAAAATTATTAAACAGCACAAACCCAAAGCACAAGAATTGGACGGCTTTCTGCAGAATGGGACCAACCCACACCATGATGAAACTGAGAAAAAAGCTATCAAAGATTTTGATAATTTTAAAATAACCGGTTATTTTTATGCCGTTACTTACGGAGGTTTAAGGGATATAATTTAATAATTTCATCAGGTGGATTTTGTGATGTTATGTGTAAGGGTGACGAAAAAAATGGGCTTTTGTTGGTTGGTTCCTTTCTGCAATTTATGAAAACTACTATCTGATGTATGTATGTATTTAAAAAAAAGCGACAATTATTTATTTCCAAACAAAATACAACTGATATTACTATTATAATGGTAATATGAATTAATTTTGATTCTATTTGAAATTCTTCCACATCATCTTCCAACCCCACCTCATCTTGTAAGCTACCAAAAAAATGCATCAAGACTTTATATTTTGCAGAAGCAGGAAATCTTTAAAGACTTTGGTAGTGGGTCTACCAGCCTGCTTTTTTACAAAAAAGATCCAACCCACTTGCAGATATTCTACAGATTCTAATTCTGGATTAGTAATCCACACTATTATTGAATGTTGGTTGGTTCAATGATTAATAGATTTCACTACACTTGCATTTTGGCTATGACCTATTTTGCAGATAAATTATACATACTTAATTAGTTCAAAGGCTAAATATCTCGATTTTTTTGATTTTGTGGGTTGGTTCCTTTCTGCAGAAAGGCGTCCAATTGTAAACAACAAAAATGGCCGCCGTTAAACTCTGTGCAGTGTTTTTTAGTATTTTCAGCATGAGATAGAACAGACCTTGTTGTGTAGATTGTGATTTAGACATACATATACAAATACAATATAAATTTTGAAACGAATGTCAAACGATGCTGTCAATTTCTTTTCACACAGACCTGTCACTTTTCACACAGAAATGTCACTTTACATTCGTGTTTTGCCTTGCAAATGAAAAGATTCATTTTCTAAGCAACAATGCCATTACGAAATGTGACTTTTACATAGTGGTCGTAGAAAATACTCTTTCTTTACATCCATTGGAATCATAGCAGTTATTCCCTATAGGGAATAACTGCTATGATTCCAATGGATGTAAAGAAAGAGTTTTTTCTACGACCACTATGTAAAAGTCACATTTCGTAATGGCATTGTTATATATGATGAAAGTTTCTGAGCGAGCCGACAGGCGAGTGAGGAATTCATTGAGCGAGTAATTGCGATTCCACCCGAGGTAAACTTTATACTTTTTGTCGAGTGCTGCTAATTATTAATTAATTTTTAGAAAATTAAATTAAAAAAAGTAACACTTACATTCCTAAAGTCGTTCCAATTAAGTTAGTATGCTTACCTACTTTAAGTTATTTAAGCTAAACTCTATAAATGCTTACTTTCGCTTAATGCGCTTAAAAATACACAATTTGGGTACACTCAAAAAAACTTGTGTCAAAATTATATAAATCTGTCTGATGATCAAGCTGGTAAAAGTTAAAAAGAAAAGTATAGATGGACTAATTTTTGTTTGTGTTCCAAAAATCTTTTTAATGTTACAAGTTGGTTAATAAATTAACGCATAATTTCACTGCAAAAAACATTTTTTTCCTGAAAAACTATAGGAGATTCATATTTACGATTATCATATTTATTAGCCATGCCTATTAAAGTATTGTAAAAAAAATTTGCGTTCAAGCTAAACATTTTCTGAAAAGTAAATAAAATAGCAAAGAGAGAGTTTTGCAAATAATGGCCTCATATATTCAATATATATGATCATTCTATACATATTAAGTATCTTCTTTATTTAAAGAACTACAAGGTCGGTTTAGTTAATAAAAAAAAGTTGCGTATTTACAAGCCTACTAAAATGAAATTTGAAAAATAAATCTGCATTTCTCCAATAAGTTTCACCTATTAGATTTTACATGGTTGAAAATAATCTACCACGATAAAAAGATGTTATTAATTTTTCAATGTCAATCTTTCTAAAACTTTGTAAATGTGTACTAGGGTGATTCAAAAAAAGCCTTTTTTTAAAAATGAACCCGCACTGGCCTAAATTATAAAGATTACATTAAAACTAAAATATTGATACCAAAAAATCCAAATTCGATGAATATTTAGAGGTCGCTCAAATCAATTTTCTTATTTTTGCACATTCGAGCCGCGAAATTATTACTTCACAAAATAGTAAATAACTCCGTTAGTTTTTAATCGATATTATTAAAAATTTAAGGGTTACCTAGTTTTTTAATACCCTCTGAGACAATGTATTGAACTTTACAGAAAAAAAATTTTTTTTCATGAAAAAAAAATAATTTGTTAATAAAAACGTATCATCTTATAAAATAAGCAACAATTGGAATCGCACTATGATGGTACCGTAAAAAAACTAAGAAAATAACACTTAAATTATTTAGTATACAGAAAACCTGCCGAAAGAAATATTTTATTTGATTTATATAAAATATAACCTAAAAATAATTAAGTAATTTAGATTTTTCCCATTTTCAAACGATTTTATAAATAATTTATATCCGTTTTATTAATTATGACGTATTTTTATAATATTTCTTTATTTTTGATACAATATTTAATTAATTACACTAGGTAGTTATTAAATTAGGTCCTTTTTACAAGAAAAATAAAATAACGTTAAGTACAAAATTATTCACTGCATTGATATGGCTTAAGCAGAAATTTAAATTTTATTAAAATTATTGACATACAACAATTCTCAAATTTTGATACCAAAATTGATTCTGTCTAGATGTTGCTAAATTGGCATTATTCTTAAATTTTGATAGTAGGACCTACTACCAGGTAGTTGATAAATTATATAAATATATATATAATATATATATATATATTAGGGAGCTTCAAAAAAATTTTTTTTCGCTCTTACCCTCTCAAATGTTTTTATTTAATATAAAGAAAATCCTCACCAAATATGGGCGTTCCAGCTCAACTCTAAGAGGTCGCTGTTTTTATTTTAGTTTCCCATTTAATTAACATGGGAAAAAATAATTTTATATTTGGAATTTTATACCTCTGTATCAAAGTAACTTATGGCAATGATTATTGCAGTTTCTAATTCTTATATAAAATTTAACGCTCTACAAAAAAGGTCTCTTATTATTTTTCGATAAATTGATTTCTTCTAGAGTTATTCGAGGTCAAAGTTTGATTAACATCAAATTTTCTGTTTTTTTTTTAATTTTATGGTACAATTAGCAGACTTGAGGTGGAAGGGGGCAAAACAAGGCAGCAGGGGGGGCAAAATGGGGTACCCAAAAAATGAGCATATGAAAAGTTTTCCAAAATTGTACCATCCTTTTTCTTGGTGAGTAAATATATTTTCAAATGATTTAGAAACCGAAAAAAACAATAAAACAAAAAATTTACGAAACTTTTTGGGTGCCCCAGCGGGGGGGGGGGCAACGCTGCCTTGTTTTGCCCCCTTTCACCTCCCGTCTGCTAATTATACCATAAAATTAAAAAAAACAGAAAATTTAATGTTAATCAAACTTTGACCTCGAATAACTCTAGAAGAAATCAATTTATCGAAAAATAATAGGAGACCTTTTTTGTAGAGCGTTAAATTTTATATAAGAAACTGCAATGATCATTGCCATAAGTTACTTTAATACAGAGGTATAAAATTCCAAACATAAATTAATTTTTTCCCATGTTAATTCAATGGGAAACTAAAATAAAAACAGCGACCTCTTAGAGTTGAGCTGGAACGCCCATATTTGGTGAGGATTTTTTTTATATTAAATAAAAAAATTTGAGAGGGTAAGAGCGAAAAAAATTTTTTTTTGAAGCACCCTAATATACATATATATATATATATTATTTACTTAATTCAAAAGCGTCTAAGTACCAGATGGATGAACAAAGCTATATACTCTCTAAAGATTTTCTTATTTCGGGATCAATTTAAACTCATTAACAATGAAAATAAGTCATTGCATAGAATTTGTATTTTTATTATTTTGTTTACATATTTGCCTGGTTCCAAGCTCCAAATGCAACATGCGCGCCCAAAAATGATTTGAAAACACTTCATGAACATGTTTACAAAAATATAGATTTGCAAATAGAAGAGCTAATTTGTTTGGCATTTTTTGATAAAAGAGTACCTACTGAAACAAAAGAAAAAATGGTTGAAAAAATTAACATTAGAAACAATCATTGCAAAGAAAAAGATGTAAAACAGTGGATTTTTTTTATTTTAATTATAAAAAGGACATAAATTAATAACTACTTAGTGTAATTAATTAAATATGGTATCAAAAATAAAGAAATTTTATAAAAATACGTCATAAATAATAAAACGGATATAAATTATTTATAAAATCGTATGAAAATGGGAAAATTTGAATAACTTAATTATTATTAGGTTATGTTTTATATAAATCAAATAAAATATTTCTTTCGGCAGGTTTTATGTATGCTAAATAATTTAAGTGTTATTTTCTTATTTTTTTTACGGTACCATCATAGTGCGATTCCAATTGTTGCTTATTTTATAAGATGATACGTTTTTATTAACAAATTAGTTTTTTATCATGAAAAAAAAAAATTTCCCGTAAAGTTTAATTCACTGTCTCAGAGGGTATTAAAAAACTGGGTAACCCTTAAATTTTTAATAATATCGAATAAAAACTAACGGAGTTATTTACTATTTTGTGCAGTAATAATTTCGCGGCTCGAATGTGCAAAAATACGAAAATCGATTTGAGCGACCTCTAAATATTCATCGAATTTGGATTTTTTGGTATTAATCTTTTAGTTTTAATGTAATCTTTATAATTTAGGCCAGTGCGGGTTCATTTTTAAAAAAAGGCTTTTTTTGAATCACCCTAATGTGTACTCTACTACAACCTAGAATTTTTTCAACATTTTCTCAGCGACCAATATCGTGCTCGAACCTCCTTATGTTATGAAAGCCAATATACAAATAAAAAAATGGTGATGGTAACAAGGGTTTTAAAATTTCCGGAAAAATTGAGCCGGCGGAAAAAAACGGAAAAATTGGGAAATTTTAGAAAAAATCACTTCTGCATTTTTTTTATTTTATTCAAAGGGTAGTACGAAAAAATGCAAAGGTCAATTTTTCTGTATTTTTACAAATTTGACATTTCGATTTATAAATATTTATAAATCATTCATTATTTTGTAATTGGATATTTTCAATGTACCCCTTTTTGCAAAATAGACCCAACCGACTATATATTTAACGTTTACGTTTATTTTCCTTAATCAATTTAATTTAATTCAATGTTTGGTTAATTTTTTTTCTGTAAAGATATTTTTTTTAAATTAAATTAATGTCCTGTTGTTGATTGCTACTTTTTTCAAATGTGTATATTTTCCAAAAAAAAATTGTTATTAAAAAATACTTAGGATTTTTTTCCAATTTTCCGAATTTTTTTCGACACTTTAAAACCCTAAAGGTCACTCAAAATATAATAAGAAATTTGATAAAAATAAGAAATTTGATAAAAATGTAGAAAAATGTGCATGTTTAAAGGTAAATTTATTTTTTAAATATTCCCAGGAACAACGAAGTTATAATGGTTTTTGGTTTTGACAGGTTTTTAGTTTTTTTCAAATTTTATTATAATAAACTTGTATTATGCAACTTTTCTTTAATATAAAAATAAAAAAGTACCCAAACACCCAAAATGTGTTTTTTGACAAAATTGAAAAAATCGCTTGGTTTTGTTATCATTCAAACTGAATTAAACAATTCTTACTTTTTGGGTGCCCTGAACACAAAAAAAAAATCCCAGAAAAATCCTGTAGGAAACACGTTGCTAAAGTATTGTTTTTTACACATCATCTGGTAAAAAACGAGTTTAATTTCCAAGTATGCAGTTAAATATATTATTAAATGTTTTTACTACTATAATTTAAATAATTTGACATTCATTTTTGTACCCAAAATTTATTCATCAAAATGTGATATTATTTTATTACTATATTTGGTTTTTGAGGATTTTCAGTTAGACACTATACTAGTATTTGTATTACATTTTAATTTGTTAGGTATTCTTAGAAAAATAATAAAACATTCCTGGAATAGCAATCAATACTAAATTGTTCATTCATTAATATTGAAGTTTTTTGATTATACATAGCACTTAATTTTTTAAGACTTTCAAGTTTTTTTTCATTTTCCAAGATTCTTAAGATTCAAGGTTCTTTTTATGAATATATACTTACTTAAAAATGTCATAACAACATGAATATTTATGATTTTCTGATTTTCAAAATTTAAAATTTTAAATAATTTTTCTATAAAAATATTTTAGTTATTGAATATTGAAGCTATTGATTTTAATTTTTTTTATCCCATTTTATTTATTTATATTTTTTTGTAAGTCGTTGTTTTTCCAAATTTTTGTTCATGAAGTATTAAAAACATACCTTTATATTTTCATTTGAAAACGCTAAAATTAGGTGAGACAAACCAAAAATACCTTTTAATTTTTTGTTTAAAAATAATTCTAAAAATTTAAATAATAATTTTACAAATCAACTGATTGGTGGAATTTTAATCCATATTTTTTCAGATTAGTCAGTTTTGTAATATGCGCAAAAAAGTACAGTTGAGTTTAAGTTTACTATTTTTTTAACTATTAAGATAATATAAATTTTGCATTTTCAAAAGATTTAATAATTATGCATACTGAATTATCAACACCAATACATGAGATATGAACAATTCTTACTTTTTCTTAAAAAATAAAATATTGCTTAAATTTTAAGCTATATCCAAGGCTGTTTGACTTATTCATTCAAAATATATGATCAAAAAGGTCAGGAAGCAACACTAACAAAAACCTCAATTAATACAAATCAATACAACCGTATGAGATAACCCCAATAACGAACATTTTGATGATTTATAGATTCGAAAAATTGTTTAATCTAAACATTCATTTTCGCATTTACAAAAAAATTGCTAAATTTTCAAAAATGAAACCTCATGATCGGTTTTTCACGTTGAATGAAGTAGAAGTCATTGAATTACGGTTTTCTTTTAATAACTATAAATCTTTTTTTGTTAATCTTATTCTATAATTCAGTTTGAATGCTAAGAAACCAAGCAATTTTTTTTCATCAAAAAACTGAAAAATGGCTATTAGCAAAACATTATTAGGCTGAAGTTTTTGGGTGCACTAAATACGAAAAAAAACATCAGATTAATCAGTTTTTTTTTCAAATTTGCAAAAATCCTTTAATAATTTTAAACACATTTTTGCTAACATTTGTTTTTGTTTATTTGCAGGGCTCCGACAACCCGTCACGTGATAACTCGCCAAATATAAACTTCATACCTCGTCACATACAACCAAAAAATAACACGTTCAACAAAAACCGAAGGTACACGCGTACAAACAACCACCACAACTACAACCAGTCTAACTTGACGAAGCGCAAAAAACCCGCCGCCAAGCAATAGTATCTAGTGTGCAGGATGGTTGTCATTTTCTAACAAGTGGGCGTTCGATCCGCAAAAGCGCACGATGATGGATTGCTTGCGTCGGCCAACTAAAATAAAATACTAATAAAACTACGGTCATGACAAAGAGGCTGCAACAAAATGAACACGAATCTCATTCTTGTACATATCATTGCACTACGTAAATTTTACCAAAAAGCTACAACTGATTGAAATACTCAAGTGGTTTTGCAAGTTTAGCCTTAGAAAGTAAAAAGTTACCAAAAGCTATTGTCCAAAGACGATAGTGAAATGTGCAATATGTGTCTTAATTTGGTTGGTATTTTGTAAATGACTTACAAGCATATCGTCGAAAATATCGGTGAAGTTGGCATCTCAACTTTGGAAAAAGTTACTTGGTCTTAAGAACTTTGTGTGACATTGTATATTAAATTGTAAAGTTAAATCAATTGTACATTGTGATATATTTGATAATTAAGTGACAGGGACTACTACTTGAGATTTTTTCATTTTATTATTTATTTTTTCGCTGAAGTCCGCTTATTCTTTGTACTGAGGAAATTAAAATTTATGTTCTTTTAATATTTAGCAACTTCTGCAATACCTTTATTATTTTTTTTACAAATAGGTTATTATCTGGACATCAGTTTTTTTGAGGACTTGATAAAAATTGTATATTAACAGTTGAATTATTTTCTATGTAAATTTGTTACTAGATTAAGTATTTATATTAGTGAATAGATTTTAAGACGGTTGTCTATTTATATTGTATAGTCTTATTTAAATTTTTTTAAATTTCAATAAGAATAGACTTAAGAAGTACAAATTATAAAAACCTAAAAAAAACTGTTTATCAAAAAATTCAAAAATTTTAATAAAGAAATATGCGCCAAGATTTTATCTGTGAAAATGAAAAAATATAATTTTGTTCTGGAGCGCAAACTGACTTTTATTTTTAACATTGTCCCAACTTTTTTTCATCATTTAAGCAAGTATAAACAGGTAAGACTATATTTTATCATTAAAAGTTTTAACCAAGAAGAATTGCTAGTGTAAAATCAGCTGCGTCGGTTAACAAAAATTAAATACCAATAAAACTACGGTCATTCATGACAAAGAGGCTGCAACAAAATGAACACGAATCTCATTCTTGTACATATCATTGCACTACGTAAATTTTACCAAGAAGCTACAACTGATTGAAATACTCAAATGGTTTTGCAAGTTAGCCTTAGAAAGTAAAAAGTTACCAAAAGCTATTGTCCAAAGATGATAGTGAAATGTGCAATATGTGTCTTAATTTGGTTGGTATTTTGTAAATGACTTACAAGCATATCGTCAAAAATATCGGTGAAGTTGGCATCTCAACTTTGGAAAAAGTTACTTGGTCTTAAGAACTTTGTGTGACATTGTATATTAAATTGTAAAGTTAAATCAATTGTACATTGTGATATATTTGATAATTAAGTGACAGGGACTACTACTTGAGATTTTTTCATTTTATTATTTATTTTTTCGCTGAAGTCCGCTTATTCTTTGTACTGAGGAAATTAAAATTTATGTTCTTTTAATATTTAGCAACTTCTGCAATACCTTTATTATTTTTTTTACAAATAGGTTATTATCTGGACATCAGTTTTTTTGAGGACTTGATAAAAATTGTATATTAACAGTTTAATTATTTTCTATGTAAATTTGTTACTAGATTAAGTATTTATATTAGTGAATAGATTTTAAGACGGTTGTCTATTTATATTGTATAGTCTTATTTAAATTTTTTTAAATTTCAATAAGAATAGACTTAAGAAGTACAAATTATAAAAACCTAAAAAAAACTGTTTATCAAAAAATTCAAAAATTTTAATAAAGAAATATGCGCCAAGATTTTATCTGTGAAAATGAAAAAATATAATTTTGTTCTGGAGCGCAAACTGACTTTTATTTTTAACATTGTCCCAACTTTTTTTCATCATTTAAGCAAGTATAAACAGGTAAGACTATATTTTATCATTAAAAGTTTTAACCAAGAAGAATTGCTTGTGTAAAATCAGCTGCGTCGGTTAACAAAAATTAAATACCAATAAAACTACGGTCATGACAAAGAGGCTGCAACAAAATGAACACGAATCTCATTCTTGTACATATCATTGCACTACGTAAATTTTACCAAAAAGCTACAACCGATTGAAATACTCAAGTGGTTTCGCAAGTTAGCCTTAGAAAGTAAAAAGTTACCAAAAGCTATTGTCCAAAGACGATAGTGAAATGTGCAATATGTGTCTTAATTTGGTTGGTATTTTGTAAATGACTTACAAGCATATCGTCGAAAATATCGGTGAAGTTGGCATCTCAACTTTGGAAAAAGTTACTTGGTCTTAAGAACTTTGTGTGACATTGTATATTAAATTGTAAAGTTAAATCAATTGTACATTGTGATATATTTGATAATTAAGTGACAGGGACTACTACTTGAGATTTTTTCATTTTATTATTTATTTTTTCGCTGAAGTCCGCTTATTCTTTGTACTGAGGAAATTAAAATTTATGTTCTTTTAATATTTAGCAACTTCTGCAATACCTTTATTATTTTTTTTACAAATAGGTTATTATCTGGACATCAGTTTTTTTTGAGGACTTGATAAAAATTGTATATTAACAGTTGAATTATTTTCTATGTAAATTTGTTACTAGATTAAGTATTTATATTAGTGAATAGATTTTAAGACGGTTGTCTATTTATATTGTATAGTCTTATTTAAATTTTTTTAAATTTCAATAAGAATAGACTTAAGAAGTACAAATTATAAAAACCTAAAAAAAACTGTTTATCAAAAAATTCAAAAATTTTAATAAAGAAATATGCGCCAAGATTTTATCTGTGAAAATGAAAAAATATAATTTTGTTCTGGAGCGCAAACTGACTTTTATTTTTAACATTGTCCCAACTTTTTTCCATCATTTAAGCAAGTATAAACAGGTAAGACTATATTTTATCATTAAAAGTTTTAACCAAGAAGAATTGCTTGTGTAAAATCAGCAGCGTCGGTTAACAAAAATTAAATACTAATAAAACTACGGTCATGACAAAAAGGCTGCAACAAAATGAACACGAATCTCATTCTTGTACATATCATTGCACTACGTAAATTTTACCAAAAAGCTACAACTGATTGAAATACTCAAATGGTTTTGCAAGTTAGCCTAAGAAAGTAAAAAGTTACCAAAAGCGATTGTCCAAAGACGATAGTGAAATGTGTCTTAATTTGGTTGGTATTTTGTAAATGACTTACGAGCATATCGTCGAAAATATCGGTGAAGTTGGCATCTCAACTTTGGAAAAAGTTACTTGGTCTTAAGAACTTTGTGTGACATTGTATATTAAATTGTAAAGTTAAATCAATTGTACATTGTGATATATTTGATAATTAAGTGACAGGGACTACTACTTGAGATTTTTTCATTTTATTATTTATTTTTTCGCTGAAGTCCGCTTATTCTTTGTACTGAGGAAATTAAAATTTATGTTCTTTTAATATTTAGCAACTTCTGCAATACCTTTATTATTTTTTTTACAAATAGGTTATTATCTGGACATCAGTTTTTTTGAGGACTTGATAAAAATTGTATATTAACAGTTGAATTATTTTCTATGTAAATTTGTTACTATAGATTAAGTATTTATATTAGTGAATAGATTTTAAGACGGTTGTCTATTTATATTGTATAGTCTTATTTAAATTTTTTTAAATTTCAATAAGAATAGACTTAAGAAGTACAAATTATAAAAACCTAAAAAAAACTGCTTATCAAAAAATTCAAAAATTTTAATAAAGAAATATGCGCCAAGATTTTATCTGTGAAAATGAAAAAATATAATTTTGTTCTGGAGCGCAAACTGACTTTTATTTTTAACATTGTCCCAACTTTTTTTTCATCATTTAAGCAAGTATAAATAGGTAAGACTATATTTTATCATTAAAAGTTTTAACCAAGAAGAATGATTATGATTTTTTTATTAACTTAAACACCTACAGGTATCTTGAAAAAAAGCTTTATAAAGCAAAAAAGTTCATATAAAATGTTCTTCTTATTTTTGCGAGATCCATTGACTACCAAATTTTCCCAAATAAAATCTGAGACCCTAGATTTTAATAGGGATTTTTTTCCATTTTCCATGAATATTTGGACCCCTCTCTGGCATGCTGTTTTTGCAGTGAAATCATTCATGCAAATAAAAGTAAAGACAGATAGGTATTGACTGTCATTTTACAATAAAGTTAAAAGTAGGAAACCTATGTCAAAGAAAAAAATTCAGATAATTATGAATGGTTGTCAGATGCAAGGTCCTCCAATTTTTACAGTGACATGTTTTGTTTTTATTACATTTATAAATATTAGTTTTTCAAGTTAACTTACCGACTTTATTTATGTTATATTTTACAAAACAAATTGTGTTTTGGTCGATAAGGGGGGTGTATACACCATTATTTAAAAAAATAAAATATAGCAACCCATTAATTATAGGATATTAAATAAAAAATAGACTGAAGCACAATATTTTATTATTTTTAATAACAAACAATTGTTTGTCAAAAATAATACTTAATTTTTGGGAAATATCACATCAAATAAAATTAAATACATAATTCTTATTTTCTACCCAACCAATGGTATACCCTTAACATCAATTTTACGTTTTTTCTGGTCGTTTTTCAATAAATTCCCTAAAACAACACCTGAGAACAAAATAAACCCAACCATGGCATTTGAGATAAATTTATTTGAACAATCATCTGGACTGTCAATATTTAATGTATAAATTTGGCTGGCAAGATGGCTCGAAACTAAACCTAAAGCTGCATAGTATGGCCAAGTTTGGTCGTTCATAAACCCTGACACAGCCAAACTACTAATCATTGTACTAGAAAAACCTGTCAACCAAATTTTGGTGTCTTTATCAAACTTTAGTGCTGTAGATTTAATCCCAATCATTAAATCATCTTTTTTGTCTTGGTGGGCATAAATCGTATCATACACTATCGTCCAACAAACGCCAGCAAAATACAGGGGTAAACATACAGCTAAATCGACGTATCCTTTTATGGCACTGTACCCCAATAAAGCACCCCAGTTGAAAGTGAATCCCAGCACCAACTGGGGCCAATAGGTTATTCTTTTCATTAAAGGGTATGATCCTACTAATAATAAGGAACTTGCACCCAAAAAAACACTATACCAGTTTAATTGCAGTAAAATAGTTAAGCCAACACTTAATTGGGCTCCCAAAAATGCTACTGCTTGTTTCATTGATATATCACCATTGACTAAAGGCCTGCTTTTGGTCCTCTCCACTTTGGCATCGATATCCCTATCCCACATATCGTTTATTGTACAACCTAAAAAACATAAAATATAGTACAAAATTATTACATTAATCATAGTAAAAGAATGATAAATTTTACTAAACAATGTTTAATTACCTGCTCCTCTCATAACGAATGCCCCAGTTCCAAACAATGCCAGCATATATAGGTCTGGGATACAACCTGGGACGGCTGCAGATCCTATAGCCCATCCACAGGGCCAAAACAACAACCAACTACCAATGGGTTTGTCCATCCGCATTAACTTCATGTAAGGTTGCACATTTTTTGGCGCTATATCGACTAGTTTACCAGCTAAACTGATCTGCTTAATACTTTCAGGACCCACATGCAATTTCTCATTATTTACTGTAGTCGTGGAAGACTTTAAACAGTATAAAATTGCATTTTCCTTACAATTCGCAGGAATCTTAACCTTACTTTTAATGCCGTATGCGTTTGTAAGGTTTTTAAGCCGTGTCAGCGATCTAATTGTAAACATAATGAAAGGGGTTTTAATTTTGGTGATATTTTTTATCGTATCACATCGCTATTTTGTGTATAATCAAGATTTTGTACATTTCAATGTCATTTCAAATTTGACAACCATGACATTACTATAATTTGCATTTAAAACACAAGAGGGCGCTGTAAATTTTGACAATTAAAGTAACTAGAAAATTTCTTTATCGGCAATTTTGTAATGCGGCAAATTTAAACTTTTGTTGTATTGTAAATATTTTGTATTTATTTATATAGCGAACTGGGAGATCTTAGATTAAACATAAATACATAGTAAAAAGTTCCTAATTAACAATCTTAAAATAGTTCAAATCTGTATCTGTCAGATTTTGACATTTGTGTATTTTTTGGTTAGAATTTTATTTTGAATGAAAATGTCATTTAAAAGTGCAAATCCGTCGCCAATACTATCATTTAAAACAAATTATCTTACTTCTTACCTTAAAATAAAGAATTTACTGATAATGATTTTTTACCTGAAGATTCTTCTTCAAACAGCTGATCGCTTTTGCGTTACCGTTATTTTAGAATTAATTTATCCCAGATATGTGTTAGCTGTAAAAACAAAATGGAAAAAAGGTATTTTATATAAAATTTAATTTTTATTCAACAATAATGTGTGGTTTTTAGGAATTGGTGGTTTTTATTTGGGGTGATTTGTTTTTTAACTGTAGTAACAAGATTCCACAAAGTATCTGAACCTGATCATGTTTGGTAAGTTTAGTGCCCTTTTTAAGTGTAACAAATATTTTTATTTGGTTTATTTTAGCTGGGATGAAACACATTTTGGGAAAATGGGAAGTTGGTATATTAATAGGACATTCTTCTTTGATGTTCACCCTCCTTTGGGAAAGGTAAATGTCTTTTGTTAAATTTTTAAATATATTTTGTAAAATTTTTAGATGTTGATTGGTTTATCAGGATATCTCACAGGCTATGATGGTACATTTGCATTCGATAAACCTGGTGATAAATATGAAAACACAAGTTATTTAGGAATGAGACTGGTAATTTTATTGTAATAATTCTTAGTCTTTTTATTTTTGTATTTTTTTTTTAGTTTTGTACGTCTTTAGGTGCAACATTAGTTCCGATGGCATTTTTAACTGTAGATGAGCTAACAAAATCTACAACTTCTGCTGTGTTTTCATCACTTTTGATTTTATTTGGTAAGACAAGAGTTTTTTATTTTTATTTTTAAAAGTATAAAATTGTATTAAAAAATCAGGCTCAATAGGACTGAATTTGATATACTTCTATATTTTTATTTTAAAAATGTTGGTAATAATGACACAATTCCTAAAGTTTTTTTTAAATCTGGACTGCGGCAATGTTGCAAATTTAGGGTTTTGGTTGGTAAATACAGTTGTCAAGTTGGTTGCATTGATTAAAACAAACTAAGCTAGTTATAAATCAAAGAACACCAAAGAAGCAAAACCGAAATAGGGCGAGAGGAAACAGCCGAAGGTACCCGAACAAGTCTGAGATGCACTGGATCACGTCGTTGCCAACTTTAAATAAACAAAAACGTTTCTAACTTCACATTTATTATTATGTTTTTAAATCTATATGAAACGGGTTTTTTGAATGAAATTAGCGAAATTTTTTTCTGTTATTCGCAGAAATATGCTCCGGTGTTTTAATTAACCCATTGCCCATTTCTAAAAGCATACGCGTAATTAGGTATATAGGTAAATTGCGGGGTGGGGGAAGCCAGTTTTTCAACGGACATATGAAGAGATGCTGTCAAATTTTGTTCGTATTGGAAAGTGCTGTAAAAAGTGAAAAAAACAAAGTTAGGTAAGCAAAAAGTGATTATTAATTCTTCGCATGTTCGTTCAGTTATTAAAAACAAGTTTTAAGAATCTAATTGGTTTTTACGGGCTTTATAAAATCAGCTGTTTTTATAAAGCCAGTGGCTTTAAGCCACGCCCATCGTCTAAAAACAAGCAACAATTCTTAAAATTGCTAGGTACAATTAAATGATTTTTATATTATTATATCTAACTTTTTTAATAAACTTTTAGGCAAACAAGCAACAGGAATCCAAAAAGGAGATCAAGAGCTTAAGGATTTAATCTTCAAAATAGGAGCCACAAGCAGTCCGAGGAACTGAGGATCTGGTGAGAAATTTTTTATTTTGACTTGTAATTCTTATTAGTTTGTCAAAATAATGTCAATCATAGGTAAATGTTTTATCTGGGGTCAATATAATAAATAATTAGTATTTTTCTATAAAAAATGTTTTTCTCTAAACAATATAAATTAATATTAAATAAATTTAAAATTTTAGCTTATTTCATTTCATTTCATTAGTTATTTCAAAAATCATATAAGGCTTAATATTGTAAAATTTGTTTAATATTAGTTTTATATTGTTTAACATTGTAAAATCTGTTTTATATTGTTTAATACTAGTAGAATATTGTTTAATATTGTAAAATTTATCTTATACTGTTTAATATTAGTGGTTTGTTGTAAAATCTGTTTTATATTTTTTAAAATTTGTTATATATCGTTTAATACTAGTTTTATATTGTTTAATATTGTAAAATTTATCTTGTACTGTTTAATATTAGTTTATTTATTAAATTTTATTTATAAAAACTTTCTAGTTTTATTTATTCTTATATTAAATGCATTATACCTGTACATTACATTTAAAATTCCCGCCTAAAGAAAGAAAGGAAAAATAATCAGCGCCATCTATGCATTTTTATCTAAAACATAATAGACATGAAGCTCGTACGTAACATTATGTTGTGTAAGTTGGTAGCCTTGTGGCCTGTGTCAAGCGCATCCACAAAACTAGTTTTGTGAGCGCATCCACAAAACTAGTTTTGTGAGCGCATCTCAGACTTTCGGGCGATTATTGTGTTGCCAACTTTTAACCAGGAACTTTTGCTTCTTTGGTGTTCTTTGTTATAAATCTAATTGTGGTTATGTATAAATTATTGTAGGTTACATTGTGCAGTTGTCAAGTTGAGTTGTCGAAATTCGTAGTTAAAAATGCAATTAATTTGGCTTTGGTGGTGTTTGGATGAGTAAAATCATATAAAAAAAGTAGTTAAATATAGGTTGCTTTACGGCCCAGAAGAGAAAGTATTCCTAGCGGATAATAATCTTCGCTTTGAAAAGAATTTATATAAAAGAAATTAAAATTTTTTGTGAACGTAAATGTTGTCCAATGGTGAATAGGTATTTTGAAAAAGCCAATAAAAATTATAATGTATACCCTACAGAAAATGCCCCTTTAAGAACAATAGAAACCAATAGAAATTTATGTTTTAATGTATGGGTTTGAATCTGGTTTATTGGTATCAATTGGGAATAGAATTAATTAAGTCAATTGACTTTAATTGGTTTGAATGGGTAATTCCGATTTAGCCTTTAAAACCGATTGGTATCATATAAAATAAAATTAGTTACTTTTTTACTACAAAAATGTCCATAAGGCGATGTACTTTTTCTTCAATTGTGGCATTTGGCATAATTTCATCAAAATGTTTTGCCCTCAAAAGGGCTTTTACATTCGAATTCGTATTTAATTAAATTCTTTAGCAGAAGTACCATTTTTAAATACTAAAAATACTAAGTTAAACTGGCATAAGCCACCAACCTAACAAAAAAATACGAGTCCAGATAAAAAAAAAATGAACTTTATACTTGTTTGTGTGGTTTTTGTCAACTATTTATACAGGGACAATAGAAACAATATTTTATAGAGTGATTTTTTTACTTTTACAAATCACAGTAAAAAAACATGTTTTATATTTTTTAGATGTTGGGTTAATAACTCTGACACAGTACATTCTTCTGGACCCTATTTTGCTTTGTTTTATGATGGGTTCCATATTGGGAGGTGTAAAAGTCTCTTCCAATAGAATAAAAGAATTTTCCATAAATTGGTGGTTATGGTTAGCTTTTACAGGGACTATGTTGTCTTGCTGCATATCAGTTAAATTTGTAGGTTTATTTGTGGTTCTATTGGTAGGTTTTATGACTGTGGCAGACTTGTGGAATATACTGGGAGATATGGCCAGACCTGTTGTAAGAAAAACATATTTTAAAACTTGTTTTTTCTTCTAATATGTAACTTTTTAGACTGACACTATTAAACATCTAATAGCCAGAGGTATTTGCCTTATAGTTTGGCCCATTCTACTTTACTCCCTATTCTTTTATATCCATTTAAAGGTCCTAAATAGAAGGTAAACAATATACAAATAATTTCGTTATGGAGTTTTATGTAATTTTTTATCTTTAGTGGTAATGGGGATGGTTTTTATAGTTCGGCTTTTCAATCGCAATTAATCGGCAACAGTTTGCATAATGCCAGCATGCCCCGCCAGGTGGCGTATGGGGCTATAGTGACCTTGAAAAATCACAGAACTGGAGGAGGGTACTTGCACTCCCATTATCACCTGTATCCTGAGGGAATTGGGGCTAGACAACAGCAAGTAAGAAACAAGTTTTTTGAATACTTTTTTTTTATTTTGAAGACAAAATTGTTGATTGAAATGATTTTACAATACGCTAAAGAAGTATCGCTAGTAGCGCCACCACTCGGCTGTTTTAATAATCAACTGTCAAACGCTTAGGTTACCAACGAGTGTTTTTGAAAATAAAGCCGTAAAATGTTTTAAAAAATATCGAAAAAAAAACCGTGGCTCGATTTCTATTTCTATTTTGGTAGTGATTAACGTGAAAAGTGTAAATATTTCAATTCAGTAAAAATCGTCAAACAAATAAGTCGTCTAAATTTAAACAGCAATTAGCATTATTAAAAGCGTTGATTAAGAAACTCTCCACTCAACGGTAAAATACCATTATATTATGTATTATATATAATATTATGTTGCCATGAATTCGTAGGTATATTTTGTTGTTTAAAATGCAGTTGTCGGCGTTTTTTAGAGAACACAAATCTAAAAATGGTTATGTTTGTGCAAAAATTATTTTTTTCTACTCCCACCTTTAAAACGCCCTTTATCGTACATGTTTCCATGACACTAAGTGACCTTTTAAATACACATTGACAAGTTGTGGCTTTACGGCGCTTTAGTCACGGGCTGAAGTTAGCAACAGGTTTTTAGTCACGGGCTGAAGTTAGTTTTAAGTTAGTTGACAGTTGTCATACAATCGTTAAAATAAAGTGCCTTTCTTGTAAAATAATACTAAATGTGAAAATTATTTTATTATCTCAATACAAAAATACATAAATAGTTTCTCAACGCCAATATTTGAAAAGTTTATATGAACATTGTACTGACCTTTGAATTTCGCCGGCAGTAAACTATAACTAAAATTCGGGCACGGACTCTACTGTAAAGTCCTAATAAAACATTTCCTTTACTTTCGATGTGAAAAACTGTCAATTTTCAAGATAAATTTCGATTTATAACCTTTATAATTGTGTTTATAAAATGTAAAAATGTGACATTTGACAGTTTCCCCTGTTGTTTCATAGATGGCGCTCTATACAAATTTTTGATTTAAATAATTTTAAGATAATAAAAAGTATTTGTCGTAAAAAAAGTATAGTTTGCACCTCGTTTATAAACTTTTTTATCAACTCATTAACTTAAGCACTCGATCGCAAGCTCGCTCGTGCCTAAATTAAATTCGTGTATAAAATGGCGTTTATCAAACTTGATACATAATATACTATTTACTAATTTTTTTAAAATGTCCAATCTTAAATATTAATTAAATTAGGTAAAGTTATCATTAGGTAATTCTGCACCAACAAATGTACTTATTGGATCCTTTGGCAAAACATGAAAATGCAACGATTTAGTTCTTGAATTCACCACGATCCCTTTGATAAAATACACACACTAACGTAACTATATAAGCTTTTAAGCGTTAAGTTTCTTAATCAATGATATAAGGAATAATCAATCAAAATCGAGTAGTAAAAAAGTTTTTTAATTTTTTCCTTGCAACGTAAAACACAAATAACGTGCGCGATTTAGCTGTGCAAATGAACAAAATTTGTCGAGTAAGACTTCTGCCTTCTTCTCTTTTGTAAAAATGATGTATAATCTGTGTTTTAAATTTATTATTGACAATTCTTAAATTCACGCGCGCGCGTTGCGAAAACCCGATACTTCTTTAGCGTATAGGTAGGTATTTTTAATAGTAAAATTACCTCTAATCTTTTTCCCTATGGTCTTATAAAGTTTTTAAGTTAACATTTACAATTAGTAAATTGACATACCTTTCTTAAATAAAATATTTGATCAAAGTAGGTTATGTGTTTCATTATAATTCTTTGTAAAAAGGTTTTTATATTCAAAATAATTTATTTTAAAAAACAATTCATACAATCAAATTGAGTTTAAGGGTCAAGTCTTCATAAAATTGCATTTTAAAATTGTAGTTTGTTCTAACTAACTTAATATTCACTTTATATTTAATTTTTCTTGTCAGAAATATGGTTTGACGAGCTGAAGTTAGCAATAGTGGCTTTTGAGCATTTTAGTCACGGGCTGAAGTTAGCTTCATTATAAATTAGGAAAAAGTGAGGTTTATTCCGTTAAAAGTTGACAGATGTCAAATGTTTAACAAATAAAATTTGCTTTAAATTCTTTGTTTTCTTAGATAAATTATAGTATGCAACTCGTTTTATAAACTTCTCCAGACACTCGTAAACACTCGCTCGCAAGCTTCGCTCGTGCATAATAAAACTCGTAACTAAAATGGCGTTAATAAAACTATTCTAGTAGCTACTAGGTTATTACCTTTTATTAAACAAAGAACAAAGTTGTTCTTCAAAACCTTAAACAATTTACATTTTTTTTAATTATTCGAAAAAGCTCGGAAAATTGAAAAATAATAAAAAGGGCTTTTAGGTTAATTAAAAAATATATTGAGATCGGTGACAATTCAAAAAAAAGTCAACATTTCAAACATTGAACTCAAAGTTTTTAACAAAAATTAAAATTTAAAAAAAAATTAATTTTTTTTAAACAAAAATTTTATTTATTTTCTACGGCTAGAAATTTTTTTGTATGGTCTCAATTTGAGACTCTCAAATTAAAAAAATAATGTTTAGTAAGGTAGACTAAAAAAACAAAATTTTATTGTATTCATAAATACAAATTATTTTGAAATGAAAAACCTTTTCATAAAAAGTCGGAACGAGAAACATCAACTAAAGTTGTTTCTTTTGGCAAAGTATACTATGTCAAAAGAAATGTTATATATAAATTTACAATAAATTATACAAAACTAAAAACTAAGGCCATAAAAAAAAAATCGAACTTTAACAAATCCAGTGAGTGTTTTACTATACCAATTGAAATTATAAAAAATACACAAGTTTAAAATACGGTTTAACACTGGTTGAAAAATACTAAAAAACCTCTTTTAATCTAATATTACCATATTATATACGAGGTGTGTTCAGAAAATATCGGGAATTTTCGTTTTTTTGTAACAAATATTTATTTATTCGTCTACATTAATGTTGTCGCCTTCAAAATAGTCCCCATTGGATATTATGCACATGTGCCAGCTCTTCTTCCAATACTCGAAACACTTCTAAAAGTCGATCTTTGGGATAGCCCTAAAGGCGATGCGCTTTTAATGTCATCTATGCTTGCAAAACGACGGCCCTTTTTTTTTGAGACTAGGAAAAAGTCAGACAGAGGCATGTCTGGCGAATATGGAGGCTGGGGCATCATTATAGTATTGTTTTTGGCCAAAAATGTTGTTCAAAATTTAACAATTTTAGAACAAATTTTGCTGCCACGCGTTTCAAACCCAAAACATTCGAAAAAATTTCATGGGATGAGCCAATTGATATACCAACATCATCAGCGACTTCTCTGATGGTTTATAACCATTTCTTCCACTTTTTCCATGTTTTTATCGGTTGTTAATGTGCTTGTGCCTTCGGGGCGTTCGTTATCTTCAACGCCTTCACGGCCATGGATTCTCTTATACCACTTGTAAACTCTTGTTTTACTTATAGCACTCACTATATGCCTTTGTTAACATTTCACAGAATTTATTTCATTTTTTAAGCAAAATTGGATAACAAATTCTTTGATCCATTTCTTTTAACGAACGAAAATCGCCGAGCTCATAAAACACGTCTAACCTTAGCGGCTGCCACAGACAAAGTAAACAATGAAAACAGCTAAAAATTTAATCATACTTCGGGGCATGTATACCAACATAATAAAGAAAATTTTATGACAACCGGACCCTCCAAACCACAGACCACCAAACCCGCGAAATTTAACAATTCCCGTTATTTTCTGAACACGCCTCGTATACTAGGATTTATTTGTACAATTTTCTGTTTAGATTTCCAATACTTTTTTTAATATTCTCTAAATTCACACATTCATTTAATGTCTTTTTTTTAAGATAACAACTTACACCCATAAGGATGACAACAACAAATGGTTGATAAAAAAATACAATTCCGAAGACATAAGTGGCGTTAACATTGTCAAAAATGGCGATTTAGTGAGATTGGAACACATTGCGACAAAAAGAAACCTCCATTCTCATAAAGAACAAGCCCCCATCACCAAAAAACATTATCAAGTCACAGGTAAAAACCCGAAACCCTTATATTTAAAAGTGGGGTCCAATTGATCTCTTCCATTTTAAATCTAAGGTTTTTATTTACTCCTATTGCATAATATTGAGTTTTTTCCGCGAATGATACACATTATAAATTTCCTGCCTAACAACGCGAATAATGAACTCATTATTCACGCTGTTAGGCATTAGTGATTGGCCTAGTGGGGAACCAATCAGGTTTTAAATTGGGAGAAGGCGACTATAATAACATTAAAAAATTGGTAAAAAGTGAGGTTAACCATTTGACAGAAGTCAGCATTTATTTATTTATTTTTGATAATCATTTAATTATCTACTTATTGGAGATTATGTGAATTATCATATATTATATCACGAAAACTATGAATTTAATTGGTTAAACTAGGCTCAGTAGTTTTTTGTTTGGTTTTTCTTGGAAAATGTTGAATGCAAAATAATTTAATAAAATCACGAGACCGCGTAAAATCTGACATGTGTCAAAATTTATAAATATTTTTTTAAAGAAAATTCCATTAATTTAAGGTATGTAATAAGTAATAATTGATATTTCGTAAACTAGATAACTTATTTTTTATTGTTTTTTAAAAAATGTTTGTTAAAACTTGTAAATATCACCATAAAATCGTAAACAAAAATCCAATATGGAGGCTAAAATTTAATCGCTGTTAAGTAGTTCTAGTGATTTAATCGCTTATTTAAACGAAATTTATTCGAAAATTCAAGGCTTTTGATTGGTTCATATTATAATGAGGGAAATAATCTATAATAATTCTACATAGGATATGGAGAAAATGGTACAGGAGACGCAAATGACGTTTGGCGTGTATCCATCCAAGGTGTCAAAGATGGTACAGAACTGACAGCGGTAACCAGCAAAATAAAATTCGTGCACTATTTGCAATCGTGCGTTTTGACGACTAGCGGCAAACAGCTGCCGAAATGGGCGTACGAACAGCAGGAAGTTTCGTGTAATCCAAACTTAAGAGACGCCAATGGACTATGGAACGTTGAAGAGAATATATTTGATAAATGTAGTATTTTTTGTTTTTGGGTTTTGACATTTTAATATTTTTTTTTACCTTTTAGTGGCGAATGTTAGCTTTGAAGTATACGCACCAAGTTTCTTTGAAAGGTTCATAGAATCTCATGCTGTTATGTTCCAAGGAAATTCTGGCTTGAAACCCAAGGAAGGGGAAATTACGTCAAGACCTTGGCAGTGGCCTATAAATTATAGGGTTTGCTATTTTTTGTTTTAAGATTTTGTTTAAATATCTTAACGTTTTCTACATTTTAGGGTCAATTTTTTTCAGGTTCCACATATAGAATATACCTTTTAGGAAATCCAGTGATATGGTGGAGCAATTTGGTTTTCATTGTGATATTTTTAATAATATTTGCTAGTAATGCAATCAAACAGCAGAGAGGTTACATAAAATCTTTTACAGGTAAATTAATAACTAAATAATTTAAGCTACATTCGTAATGAATTCGTTGGCCGAGTGACACTTTGGCACGCAAGTCGGCACGAAATTTACCATTCACAATAACTTTAGAGTCGAATTTGGTTGGTAACTGTCATGTTCTTTGTAAGGTTAGAATTTGCATTATTTTGTTTTTGCTTGGTGTTATTTTTTAAATGCAAAAATGGACAACAATCAATCAAATAGTTTACTTATGTTGTGTAATAGTTTATTTAGTGATACATTCTTATTAAAATGTGTAACAAAACACTAATGTTCTCTTTATAATAATAAATAATAATAATAATAAAAAACTAGTATACATTAAGTTACATACATACATACATTTACATTAACAATGGGTAGTTTATTTAAATAAAGCAAGAAAAATGTATTTAATCACATTAAAAACACTACACACACAAAAAAAATTTTGCCCACTTCAACTTCCACTTTAACGTCGAATTTCATTGTGAACGATCACACTGTTACACATTTGCTTAGCTTGTGAGTCAAATTGCCACTCGGCCAGCGAATTCATTACGAATGTAGCTTTAAAATTGGTTTTTTCGTTTTAAAAAAATATACAAGGAAGTAAAATAAATAAATAAAATAAAAATTCAATAATAATCACAGTAACATTTATTATTATACCTAATTATTCTTTAACAAAACTATTAAAAAATATCCAAGGGACGACTGTTTATTGTAAATATTTCCTACTTTACTGTGAAGTTGAATTTCACAAAAAATTGAGTTAAATGCTATTTTTAGTTGAAGATCTATGTTTCTTAAAATATAAGATTTACAGTCCCTTGGCAATTTATTAGACAAAAATTCTTTAATTTTGTGAAACAGTTGATATTTTCTCACAAAAATGAATTTTTTAATTACAAAAGTGATTTTTTTTTAATGAATGGGGTAGTTAAATTTTTTCTGACCTATACTTTTTATGGTTTTATTCAAGGCGTTTTGTAATATTAAACATTTCTGTGAAATCAGAATTTCAATTGAGTTTACCGTTTTCGAGATATTTACAAAAAATATACATTTTTATGACGTCACAAACCTCGCCATGTGACCAACATTCTAAGATTTCTATTGGTTGAAAATTACCCTGTTGTCAAGTTGTCTTGTTAATGATTTCATTTGGTTATGTCAGAAAATACCCGAAGAGGTTATGTACAAATACTGTCACTGTCAGTTGAGTGAAAGATGGTCACCAAATTCATGAAGTACCTATCTTCCTTATTACAAGGTATCATATTACTGTTTGATATTTTAGAGTCCAAGATATATCTAAAAGAATATAAAGAACTAGGCATTATACTAATCGGCCATTCCAAGCCCATGGACAGGACACATCAGAAACATGTCTAAATATATTCTTGTTACTTCCTTAAGTTTACTTATTTTTTCTACGAGTATTTATGAGAAGTATTACCCAAATTTGGCTAATACTTCTCATAAATACTGGTAGAAAAAATAAGTAAACTTAAGGAAGTAATAAGAATATATTTAGACATGTTTCTGATGTGTCCTGTCCATGGGCTTGGAATGGCCGTAATGAACTGCATTTACGACAAAATATGATTATAATTATAGGTACTTACTTAAAGCTCCAATGTTCAATGTTACCAACCATTCCACAATATTCCAAATTTGGCTAATACTTCTCATAAATACTGGTAGAAAAAATAAGTAAACTTAAGGAAGTAATAAGAATATATTTAGACATGTTTCTGATGTGTCCTGTCCATGGGCTTGGAATGGCCGTAATGAACTGCATTTACGACAAAATATGATTATAATTATAGGTACTTACTTAAAGCTCCAATGTTCAATGTTACCAACCATTCCACAATATTCCTCTGCTTTGGAGTCCGTTATTAATAAATCACTTATCTAATATCAATTACAAATAACATAACAATAACATTGATTTTCAATAATCTAAATTTAAAAAACGATGTGGCTCCCGTCCCGAGGCGGGACTTAAGTTCAGTCCCGATTGACGTCACACACTGTAAATCCGTTTTTATTCCCCGAGATTTTATAATTTGTGTCAAGCTCGATGGCTTAGATGGTAGGGCGGTCGCTTGGCATGCGAGAGGTACAGTGTTCGATCCCACTAGAAGTTGTCAAACTTTTTTTATTTTTTTTATTTTATAAATTTGTTGTTTCTTTGTTAAAAAGTGTTTTATTTTTATCGTAACATAAATTTGCCCATTTTAGTTGGGTTTTTTGCTCAATGGGGAGGGGGGGGGCCCCAATGGGGCGGGGTCGGTTGGGTTGTGTTGTTGAGTTTGGGTTGGTTTGGTTTTATGACGTAACTAAAGTGCCCTTAACATGTATACAGGTACAATTTATTATTATTATTATTTTATTATAACATAACAAATCTTAAAATTATGACGTCAATCGGGACTGAACTTAAGTCCCGCCTCGGGACGGGAGCCACAGCGTTTAAAAAAAACATAACCCGAAAAAAAAAAAACGTTAAAAAATCAATTCTTCTTCTTCTTCTCAAAATTTTAGTCTAAAATTTTTAGATCAAGTAGTTTTAAAACTAAAATATTCATATACTTGCAAGTATATGAAAATATTATAACGTGGCGCCATCTATCGTAAGAATCTTAAACTAAACACCATAGAAAAAGCTGGCAACGTTGTCAATAGCCTAGTGACGTAATTAGGAGATTTTTTTTGTAAATATCTCGAAAACGGTAAACTCAATTGAAATTTCGATTTCACAAAAATGTTTAAAATTACAAAACGCCTTGAATAAAACCATAAAAAGTATAGGTCACAAAAAATTTAACTACCCCATTGCGTTATAAAAGCTTTGTAGAACTATAAAACACATTTTTACGATAAAATTAAAAAAGTAATGGCAACAAAATGATTATTTTTCACAAAAATTACTTTTTGGAATTTAAAATTAATTTTTGCAATAAGACTTTGATTACACAATTTTTTAACACTTAATTTCAAATTTATCGTAAAAAGGCCTTAATTGGCCAGGGATTGTAAGTTCTCTTAGTAAAAACGTATTTATAAATTTGGCATGGAATCCCTATAGGGATTCCATGCCAAATTTATCACTTTAAACACAAACAATTATAATTTGCTTAAAAATGTATAATACTGCAATAATTTTGTACTTAACCAAAAAATGTTATAATTATTTAAAATACGTCTTAAATATTATTCAGAGATTCATACATTTTTTGAAAATGCATTTGTGAACTTCAAAAGTGATTTTATAAATAGAATCGCATTATAAAATTAAAACTAAAAAAGTACCTAATGGTAAAAAATATTATTTTTTACAAAAATTACTTTTTTGGAATTTAAAACTAATTTTTGCCATAAGACTTTGATTGCAAATTTGTTTAACACCTTTAATTTCAATTTTAGCGCAAAAAGACCTTATTTGGCCAGGGACCAGTTCTATTATTGAAAAAGTATTTTATTCACGCCCATTTAATTTTTTAACTTTAACCAGTGGGCGAAATTTTACTTCGCCATCGGGCTAAAGTTAGCTTGAAGTTAAAATTGAAAAAAAGTGCGCTTGATAGATATCAGATTTAATATAAAATACCAAATAATAAAAGCAACAGTAAACTGAAAAATTATTGATTTTTTCAAAAGAGTTTTTTTTATAAGATAACAACAATGCAGTTTGTATAGTAAAAATTGATACTTATTACGATTTTTTATAAAATCAATATTCGTTTTTAGAAAACTATAATCTAGATTTAGTATTATATTTCTAAATATTAGTATTTTCTTTATGCAGATTCCCACAAGCAAAAGTTGGTTGCTTGTGCCTGGCTCTTCCTAGGCTGGCTTTTGCATTACGTGCCGTTTTGGGCCATGGGTAGAGTCCTGTATTTCCATCACTATTTCCCTGCCTTACTTTTTAGTTCGATGATAACAGGTAAACGATTCACAACAACAAAACATCTAATTTTATTTACAATAAACCTTTTAGGTATTACTATTGATTACCTACTGGAAGAAGTCCCAAAACTATTTTCAGAAAACATATCAAATATGGTATACCACACGGCGTTGGGAATCATTCTTTCAACCATCGTTTACAGCTTTTACCTGTTCGCCCCCCTGGCTTATGGTATGAATGGCCCAACCGCCAATGAAGTCAATTCTACCATGCATGGGTTGAAATGGATCGATTCGTGGGAGTTTTAGGTTAAGAATTTTTTAGTGTAAGTGTAACGGAGTCCTTATTTATTCAAGATGATTGTTGTTTATTTTTGTACGACTTTTATATTTATATAAAATTATAATTTTGTAATAAATGATTTTATTAAGCAATACAATTTTTTTTTTTCAGTGCCTTTACGATTTTATTGTTTTTCGGTTATTTTTTGCTTATTATACAGTACGACAAAATTTGATTTTTTTCCTTCCCAAGAAAAATTTCTATAGATTTTGAAAATAGGCTTAAAAAATGATACCTACCTGTGTCTCGGCGTTTTTTCAGATCACATCATTTTTTTTGTGAGTGAGATCCAATAAAATGTTATCCACGGTATTCGGCATATAATTATAATATAACAGATTCGATAACAGCTAGACAGTATATTTTTATTTAAAATTTATTTACTGAATAAATGGATAACCATTAAGATTATTTATTTATTTTAAAATTATTATAATTATATACAGGGTGTTGCACATTTACGAAATACGGGTGTTTCACGTTCGTGGTCCATTGAGAGTTTCTGAGGAACGGCAAAAGATATTGATTTGAAATTTTTAAAGAGTTTATAGTCCAATTAAGCCTATTTTTCTAAAATATTTAAAACAAAATGCCACTTCCCGCTTGACCGGAAGTAACATTAACTATGTTATTTAATATATATATATTTACATTTTTAAATTCTACATAAAATTTTGAGTAAAATTACTGTACCATGTCCTATACCTAGAGTAAATAGTTTTCGAGTTATTAATTTTTTCCGTTAAAATATGACAAATGCGCGTCAATCAAAAATATCCTATAACTTTCTTGCTATTAGGTTTGCAGAAATGGGGGTGGAATTTTTGGAATCTTAAAACATACCGGGTGTTACATTTAAAATAAAAAAGTTATTAACGTTTCAAGTTAGCCCAATTTGCCCTGGTGTTTCTCGGGTAATTTGTTGAAAAATGTTAAAGATTTGACATGGAATTTTTTAAACAATGTTTTAAGATTCCAAACATTTTACCCCCATATCCGTAAACCTAATAGAAAACATCTAAAAAAACTATTCACTTTAGGTATAGGACATGGTATAGTAATTTTACTCAAAATTTTATGTAGAATTTAAAAATGTAAAAATTTATGGGGTGTTCTATTTGAAATAACAAAGTTGATGTCACTTCCGGTCAAACCGGAAGTTGCATTTTGTTCAAAATATAAAAAAAATAGACTTAATGGATTATAAACGCTTTTGAATTTCAAATTTATATTTTTTTCGTTCTCCATGGACCACGAATGTGAGACACCCTGTGTGATACCACTATAGATTCTAAAGCAATGTATAATCGTCAAACTAAAAGATCAAGATTTGTTTGAAACATATATTTAATATAAGATAAATACAAATCTGTTGTTTTATAAAAAAAAATCAAAAATTAAAACCAAAAATATTTTTTTTACTTAAAAAAAATAAAATTGTTATTTTCTTTGTATAATTTTTGTATTATGTAAAAACATAAAATATTTGATATGAAGAAAAAAAATTATTTATAACAAAATATAGAATTAAAAATCTGTTTAGGTTAAAATAATAAGAATGGCTGTGTAAAAAAATTAAATGTCGTGATTTTGTGAAACGGTGAGACAAGGGTACGTTTTTTAAACTTTATTTTTAAAATATGTTAAAATTTTTCATGGGAGGAAAATCGTGTTGTACTGTGTTATTATTAAAAAACTTGTAAAAGTTCATGTTTTTTTAAAAAGTATAATTTGATACAATTAAGATTTGAAGACTGGCTTCTAAGTTGCATAATATGAAACTTGGGTAAGCATCAGTAAATTTAAGAAATAGAATATATTTCCTAAATAGATGATGTTAAAGATATATTCTTGATTGGTCGTCACATTGAGTAGTCTCATTAAATTACCAATACAGTAAAATGTGTTTTATATTTATTTTCTAGACATAAATCCAATTATTATTATCTTTTGTATATGAATACTGTTAACGTAAATTTACTATCTTGATTTGATTGATTTAGGTTCCATGCCAGATGTTACTTTCTTAGATGTTTATCCACTAAATGCAATATGTTTTGATTTTTAAGAGGAAATATTTTTTGTTGGGTTAAAATTTTAATAAGGCGTAATTAGTAGTAGTACACTAAAGAAAATATGTTCTTCTTACAATTGATATTTTTTTTCACTATAGTACTTACAATTGGCATTATTTTCTACTAAAGCTCATTATGTTAGATCTTTCTTTGAGATTTTCAATACAGGATAAGAAATTTGTTAGACCTACAATGTTAAATGTAAGCTGTGTACACATATTAAGTACTATCTAGAAACAGATTAACTATATAGATATCTAAAATGTCCAATTAAGGAACATTTTTATAATGAAATATTTTAATTTATTACTTATACGAAAGGATGTAAGGTCTAAACTAAATCTATCAATCAAGAAAAAAGACCTTTTTATTATATAATTTTTATGTAGTATAACTTTATATTTTACGTCTTTGTGAAAGAAAATAAAAAGACTTTAATATTACGATTACCTACTTGATTTATTACATACATATAGCCTATATGATAAAGGTAACTATAACAATACCTTTTATTATGGCCATAAATACCATGAAGATTAAACTGTAACGATAGAACAAATAAATTGCATGCAATCACCAGTTTAATCTGGTCGGACCTATTTTGCCGGGGTATGAACAATTAACATTTAATTTTGCTGAAAAAATTATATGTTATCTTAAAACTTACTAAGTGAAAGTAAATCTTGTGTTTGAAACTTACATATTCTGTAAAAGTATAGATATTCAGTGTTTGATTAAATTGGGTGTAAAGTTTTTTCAAAAATGGCGAATGCCCCGGGATTACCTAAGGAGTAAAATAATTATTATTTTTTGTCAGAAAATATTTTATGAATTTTTTTTCTATTTTTTTTTAATAATAAACATTAAAATTTTGTTTATTTCTTGGAAGGGCGAGGAGAGGCATGTTGTGTCCTGTTTTTTTATTTTAGAAAGTTGATCACCTTCACTATGGTGCATACTCTAATTTTTTGTCACTGTGAATTGTAATTTCGTCTTATTTTTTAAAAATAATACAATTTATGTATTTTTGTGTATAAATCTCTTAATTTAGAATACAAAATACATCTATATGTATTTTGTACTCTAAATTAAGACCTTTATAATAATATATATACATAGGTACAGTGGTGGATTCTAAAAATAATACTATACCTATGTATTTTATTATTTTTAGAATCCACCATGGTGCACTGTACCCATACCTATATATATAGGTATGGATAATAATATATATTATTATAATGAAAATTAAATAACTTTTAAAAACATTGTTTTACATTGTTTGATCAAAATACCATTTAATATAAAGCATTTAAAGAATAGAAGTGAATTTTGAAAAACTTGTAAATAAAATACTCGTTTTTAAAAATACTTCCCTAACTCTGCGCCATTGTCGGGACACCCTCTGTATTATTATACATGTATAATAATTTATTTAAATTGAAGCTATGAAACTAAACTATGCTTTATAAACTGCATATTTCTCAACACCAGTATAAAAATACTAACTAAACCAAAAATTATGATAATTATAAAAACAGTAAGTTGCGTTTTTAAATACTAATTTGTTTTATTTTAGGTACAACAATTTATAAATTATATAATTTTAAAAATGAACTGACATACCTACAAATTATACAAAAAACATACTTGTATAAATCATACAAAATTAAAAATAAAATCAATTAATTTGTATTAAGGTATTATTTTAAAACGTATTAAGAATTAAAACTACTTGTATAATGAAATGTATTGCAAAATAATTAATAATTTCGTAACTAATATATTAATGTATATTTCTGTTACACCTAAAACAAAGCTCGCTATTTCAGTTACCAGGATAAAATATTGCTTTTATTTCAAAATTTAAATTGATTCTCAAACACTTGGGTGGTTCTGTTCATTTCTAATGTTTACAGGAAAAGCAATTAAATTAAATGATTTGGTAGAAAATATGCGAATTAGGTATACAATATATGTGTATAAAACAAGTGTACACTTGTAACGTTACAATGACCCTTACTGTGGTACCGAGTTATTTTGCCGCACGACCGCGCAGCAAATATCAAAATTAATCTATCTAATGTCAGTCAAAATAAAACGTAAAATTTTGTTTTGTCAATTTCGATGCTTTTAAGAGCTAGACAGTGTCTAGTAGACACACTTTACATATGTGTATAATATACACTGTATATACATTAGTCTGGGCCAAAAAAATCAACTATTTTTTTTTGAAAAGTATAACAAAATTATTGTGAAAGTTTGAGTCCATAATATTAATATTAAGAGGGCTATCATTGCAATTTTAATTTTTTTTTCCTCAGCAAGTTTTTGTCTCAGAACTCCCAAACTATTGAGTTTAACAAAATTGACTCAAAAATATTTTTTTAAGAAAATTTAATGATCTACAAAAAAGTTTAAAATGAAATTTTCCGTCAGATGAACCGTTTCCTTAAAATCATGCCTTAAAAATTGGTATAGTTAAAATTACATTTTGATCTTTTAATTTTGGAATTTTGTAAATCATGTAAAAATCAGTACCCAGAAAAAATGCTTTACAAAAAAGCCTCTTAACATTTTTGGCTAAATTCACTCAATCAAGGTTCAAGTTTTTCAAGGTTAAAGTTGAAGTCAAAACGAAATTCTTGTTTTTTCCTAGATGTAGATTTATTTTTTTATGGGTGATAATTTGAGTTTTTTCTTTATAAATATGTATTATATAACTAATTAACAATTTCCAATAAAAAAACACCATGATTGTTATTATTTAAACGATTAAATAGGTAACAGTGTAAGAAGCTTTAATTAAAGCCAAAAAACTCTAATGTGTTATTTTTTTGTTAATTTTCAGTAATTTTATCAATAACATAAAGATTATCATCGATAAAAGAATTCAAGTTTTTAACTTACCCAAAAAAAAATCTAGAGCGGAAAAAACAAGAATTTCGTTTTGATTTCAAATTTA